TGAACATTTTCGTAGTATAGTCATTTCTGATTACTTTTAATTTTCACCAGTTTGAGAGACGAGTCTCGACACTTCCCAAGTTTTGTGGTCGAATGTAAGATTAGTTGAAATTTGCGCACTGTAAAGTATTAAGTGAAAGCCACGAGTGTCGACCGTGGCGCATGGTCGGTTGTGGTTCGGATGCATCCAACCCAGAGAATAAGGATACTGTTACGACAACCAAACACAAGAGCGTCAAGGGGGAAACAAGATGTTGGGGGATTTTACAGCACCTTATCTGCAAGCTGCAGATGTTGTTATGTCCTTGAGACGTGCTGTTGTCATGGCTGGGGAAGACGTTCTAGGTCTCTCGATTTCCATTACGGGTTTTGAAGGTCTGCCTCAACCTCCTATCTCGGCTTGCATTGTGCACGGTTCAACATGGGAACCGCTAGTGAACGCTTTTCGAAGAAACTTCTTTTAAAGATTTCAAGTTCGGGACACTTTGGTGACGAGTCTTACGTTCTTAGAGTTCCGTCAGGATGTCGAATTTGTGAATGTTTTCATAGTGTAGGTTTTTTTAGAGAGACATCTCGACATTTCCAAATTAGAATGTCCGATTAGTTGAAATTTTCACGGAAACTTTTTGGTTGATTGTGAACGGTCCGATATAGCCTTGCCAAAACTTTGGTTAATGGAAACTTTTTAGGTAACCGTTACGAATTCACAATATTGGGACCAGATAACTATTATCAGTTTCTAAGGCATACTTCTCATTTGTCTCGACAATGGTTGTGTGCCTGCTTATGTAGGTTGGGTGTCCCGCTCTGTTTTTAATTTTTCTTCGCTCAAGAGTTATCAATTGTCTTCAAAATCCAGTGAGATCTTTCAAAATAATTATAAGGTCCTTGGTCACTTCAACATCTGATAATTTGTACACAGTTTGATTCGGATGTATCCTACTCATTCGTTTGAGCCTTCTCCAATGCCCAATCCTCAGATGATAACGTCTCTAGATAATATGCTCCCCACCACTTCACTCCGTACGATGCCCGTTTGTTTTGAGAAATGTTTGGTAAAGTGATAATGTACATGCAACCGCCATCTAATTAAAATTTAAGACTGATGGTTACTAGAGTTCTTAAGGGGTTCCCGAGGGTGCACTTTTGTTTGTTAACATACATCATTTGATCTCGGCAAGGACAGTGGCGGAGTGGTGGGCAGCATTGGGTAGGGAAGTCACAAGTTCATGGTTGCGAGGTCTTACCCGGCAAGCGGCAAATGATAACATCTCTGTGTAGTGCTGCCCACCACTTCACTCCGTCCGATGACCTTTTGTTTTAAGAAATGTCTGCTAAGCTATAATTGTTCTTGAAATGATAACATATTGGTTAATTTTCCCTCGAAGGGTGATCCGGGCTATAATCATAAGTTCATCCTTTTGATTGAGTGAACTTCAAAGATATTTAATGAATGACGCACGGTTTATACCATAATGGATTTTCTCCATCCGAATAATGAAATATTTGATTCGGATATATCCCAGTTTTACTATAAAACTAGTCAACTTGTGTATTATGGATTATATCGAAACATGTGACTCGGATGTATTATACTCATTCTGCTTGTATTCAATTAAACTTCAAAAATGAGCTCTTCTTTTCACTCCCATGCACCCTTTAAAGCATCAACGAAGACCTTTTTGGGGTAACTGATATACGTCCCTCACAAGGGGAAACCTTCGATATGCTACGTTCGTACTGACTGTCTGAATGTGTGCCAGTTTAGTTGAGGATTTATCCGTTGAACAGGGACTCTGATCGTTGTTTATTAATGTATAATGAACATTTTTTTTCGTCAGTCGCGTATACCTTTCGAGTTTCTCGAACGACAAAAGTACTATTTAGAAAATAATGTACTATTTTAATGAATAACATGTTGCTAGGAATGATCGGAACAATGAGACCAGCGCCAAAACCAAAAGAGGTGGCGGAGTGGCGACCGTCCTTAGGAGAAATGGAGTCGGGAGGACCCACCTTCGTCACAGGGGAGATCGATGTATTAAACATCATCCGAGCTTTGGACCATCGGATTCCCCTTCTGATCGGTCACCGACTCTCGATCTCTGAGCAAGCCAACGAGCGAATGTTACAACATTGCAAAGTGAATCGAAAGCTATTCGCCCTCGCCCGAGCACCGAACGTAAAAGCCAAAGGCCCCGCGCCGAAAGAAGACTCAAAAAACACTCCGGATCCGATACGGTTAGGATTAATTCAGAAAGACGATCATTTCCTACGGATTAAACCCATTCCGTGGAAATCCGCAGAATGCGATATAGAAATTTGGGGAATTCCTTACAACGCAATTATAGACTCGAGAGCAACTGTGTTGGCTATTTCACTAAGAGTGGTCAAAAGGGCAGGCAGGAAAAACGATCTGATCATGCTCACCGAGAAAGATCAGCTCGTTTTGGCAGATGAGGAAAAGATTAAAACTGTGGGGAGAATGACCAACGTCGCCTTCCGATTAGGAAAAGTACACGTGCTTGGGGATGTCGTAGTATTAGATGTTAATACGTACGACGTTCTTTTCCGACTTCCTGCTCTTGTGGCGTTACGAGCAAACCTGGATTTCGAACGACGATCGATCGTCCTCCGAAATACAGTAGGAAAACCCTACGCTGTGCCCATGCGATTGACCCTTCGCACTACTATTAACGAGGTTCCGAGGGTTTCGCCGATGATGGTAGAGACTCTCCGCATGATCTCCTGGGACGAACCCGCAGAAGGGAAGCCATCAACTGATGATGCGGAAAGCAGTGACGAAGAAGATCCGGAGATCTTGAAATTGGTACGACAACGCGTTTACTACCCGCCACCCAAAACGATAGCAAGAACGATGCAACTGACCAGCCGAAAAATTCAAAGGACCAAGGCGATGATTTTAGGCGAGCCCCTCGTGCAGATTTCGAGGATGGTCGATTCTTTGGAACCCCCTCAAACTCTGTACGAAGGGATCGCCCCTCTCCTCGCCCGGTACAACGACAAGAAGCATGACTGTGATATTACGGATCTACCCAAGTCCTTACTAACCTCGGCCAAAGAAGTGAGATTGTTACGCTTGGGGGCGGAAGCAAGCTCTCTGGAACCCCCTGGGCGTTTTGAAGCAGAAACAGACGGGCTGGGGATAAAAATCGCAACTAAGAAAGTGCCATGGCATGATGTTTGTGACGGGATTACCCCAGAAGGACACGTGGCAATCCGAGAAGAAGATGCTCAGATGATGACCACGGTGTTCTCCTGGCGATCGGATCATTCATTCATCTCGGCGCCTCCACCCGACTTGACAAAACAGGCGAACATGAAACAGATTGACGTTCGGATTTGGGACTAACTTTTTGAACTGCACGTTCCACAATATGTGCCGGATGAAATCCACCGGGTGATTGCGGATATTCTAATGTAATACCAAGAAGCAATTAGTGTGTCAGACACAGGCATCGGGTTGTCGTTAGTAATCCAACATAAATTCCAGACAGGAAATCACTCCCCGATTCATTGCAAACCTTATCGTTATTCCTTGATTGAACGCAAAAAGGCTCTCGAACGAATTCGGGAGTTCGAAGCCAGCGGTTGGATTGAACCCGCTACCGGACCTTGGTCCTTTCCCGTAGTATTAGTGCCGAAGAAAAACGGGGCGATTCGCATTTGCATTGATTATCGCAAGCTGAATGAAATCACGATCAAAGATGTGTATCCCCTCCCCTGGATTGATGATTTGTTGGATGCGATTGGGTGCGCTAATTATTTCAGCAAGTTTGATATTCGGCATGGCTTCCATCATATTCTGGTAAGGGAAGAAGATCGACCGAAAACGGCGTTTGTGTTGTTTGAGGGCACGTGGCAGTGGGTTCGGTGTCCGATGGGGATTTGCAATGCGCCTGCCACGTTTCAGCGGGCGATGAACATGACGTTCCAGAACTTCGTCAACAAGACACGGCTGACGCAAGGGATGATCAACTTCTGCGTGATCGTGTACATGGACGATATCCTGGTCTATTTGGAGACTTATCATGGGCACTCGCAATACATCGACTGGACATTGGGCGCACTTAGAGACGCTGGGTTCAAGATTGCGCTCGAGAAAAGCGAGTTTTTCCTCCCGGAAATTTCGTTCTTAGGCTATGTCGTGACACGTGGAGGATTGCGGCCAGACTCGAGAAAAGTTGCGGCGGTAAAGGAAGCTCCAGTTCCCACGTCACTGATGCAGGTTCGAGCCTTCTTGGGACGAGCGTCGTATTACCGGCGCTTCATCAAGGGCTTTGCCGCGATTGCACAACCACTAACGAATCTGTTATGGAAGGACCAGCCTCTCAGATGGGACGCGGAGTGCCAGCAGGCCTTTGCAACCCTCAAGGATGCTCTGGCAACAACCCCTATTCTGATTCGACCGGACCCCTCGAAGCAGTTCATTCTCATCACGGATTGGCAACCGGAAGCTATTTCCGCTATTTTAGCGCAGAAGGGGAATGATGGTCACGAACACGTCATTGAGTACGCGTCACGAACCGTGCCGGACGAACGAAGGAACGACTCCGCACCTCAAGGCGAATGCTATGCAGTGGTCTGGGGAATCCAGCACTTCCATCCGTATCTCTATGGACAAAAGTCTCGCCTCGTGACGGATCACGAGCCTCTCCTAGCTTTGAAGAAGCTCACCAACTACACGGGCATGATTAGCCGTTGGGCGGTGCGACTACAAGAATCTGACTTCGATATCGTCCATCGAAAGACAGAGCGACAAGGCAATGCGGACGGGCTGACACGTCTGCATCGACCTGCCAAGGTACCCAAGGGCGAGGACATTACACCGTGGAAAGAGTCGGACGTGACTAACGAGCCAAAGTACGGACAAGTGGCAGTTCTCCCACGTGGCAAGAAGCAAAACGGTAGCGATGGGTGATGGAGGTAACCCCACTACCCCTCTTTCTCCCCCTTCCTCCTCGTCTCTCCTCTCCCTGCCTGACAAAGTTTGCTATTTTTGCGAAGCCATCTCCCTCGTCTATTCGGTCTCTATGCGTCCTAACGGGGAAGGATATGCGGAATGGATAGATTGTCGACAGTGTGTCGCACGAGCCCATGGCTCGTGCATCCAATACAGAAACGATAGTAAGCCGTGGCTGTGCCCCTTATGCCGGACCAACAAGATTTCGACCAAGGCTCGCTTTTTGGATGCCACGTCAGAAGGGTTGGAAAAGACCCGGAAGTTTAGAAGGGCCGAAGTATGGACGGATATTGCCTTAATTGCCACCCTAGTAGGTAACCCCCTCCAGGATTTCACCAAGGAAGACCGGAGGAGGGCCAACGAAAGGGCTCGGGATTACCGATGGATAGAGGGTAGATTAGAAAAACGAAAACCGGACGGCAGTGAGATTTGGATGATAGTGCCGCATCCGTTCATGCGGTACGACTGGGTTAAGACAGCCCACGAGGAAACTGCGGCCCATTTTGCCATACAAATCATGGAGTCTGCTATCGACAAAAATGAGTGGTATTGGTCCAATATCCGCGACGATGTGAAATACATTGTCGCCAACTGTCAAGTCTGCGCCGCTGATAAGGCACCGATTCAGCCGCCAAGATCGATAGTGCCCACGGTTGTTGAACGACCATTTCAAAGAGTGAGCATGGACACTACCGACATAGTGGTGCCCCCTGGCCCTAATAGCTGCGAACATTCAATCCTATTGGTATTTGTCGATCATTTCTCGAAATGGATCGAAGCGTATCCTTGTCGCACGCGGCAAGCCACGAAAATCGCTCGATATGTTAACCGCTTCCTCGGGATGCATCAGGATACGAAAGAGATCCTGACCGATAACGGGGCTGAATTCAGAGGAGAAGTGTTAAAGAATCTGGTCATACATGGCATCGCCATACGGAATACCGCACCCCACATGTCACAATCCAACGGGCTGGTCAAAAATGCCAACCGGGTGATAAAGACCGCACTGCGACGAAATATCGCGGCACGGGATCTGAGGCCCTGGCTCGACATCGTCGATCACATCCTGACGGTCCATCATGGGACGCCCCACGAATCAATGGGGCTAAGTCCCTTCCAATTAAGGACCAATAGCGTCGCTTGCATTTCAATACCAAGCCTCCCAGACGAATCTACATTGAACCGACGGCCCACCAGGGCCATGGCTAGGGAAAAGGCCAAACAGCACCTAGAGCTAATGGAACGGTCACTGCCCAGGCTGGCCCGAAAACGACAGAAAAATGACCGAACTAGCCCAAGGCCGACAGGTCCGAAGTTACGAGGCCTGGAATGGGAATGCGGGTCCACGGACCCAGTACAAATTGGGGGACGTGGTGCAGGTGAGGAAATGTGCTCGCCAGGGTAAGCTAGCGCCACGATTCTTCGGGCGATTTCGCGTGATCGAACTCGGACCAAACGGTGTGAACAACGTGCGACTTGCGCCCAAGGTCTCCGGCAGCCGATCGGCTCGACTAATCATCCGCCACGTATCCTACCTCCGTCCCCTTCCTCCTTCTCCATTTTCGCCTCCATCCGATTCCTCCTCCCCCGACAGGGAAGATGACGACTATCTCTCCCCTATCTCTCCGTCTCCTTCCTGTTCTCTCTCTCTTACCCCAACACCATCGCCATGAGCTTTGCGACGGAGCAAGTGATCGGCGCGCGGCTTCTTACTCCGCGGGGGCAAATCAGTGTCATACGGCAAGTGCAGCGGCCCCATCTCTGCTCGGATCTCCTCCGGTTTGCGGCTTTCTTCAGTACGACAGCGATCTACGCGGCGGCAGAGTTCCGATTCGCAAAAGAAGCAACTACGCGCGTTCTGGCCGAGATCTCGGCCTTTCGATGGCTATCCCCTCCCGGGATTAGCCATATTGCTGTCGTTGTCGTCTTTACGGGGGATATCACAGCGATCCCGTCGGCGAATCACTCTGACATCTATCGGACGTTGCGCACTTGGGCTGAGGAAGTGAGGACGGCGTGGACGGATCTTCTGGCTCGACGAGGAGATACCATCGTACCGGCGCATGACACGGACCTCCAGCTCCGCTCGTTTCGAAGTTCGCCCGCGATCGTGCTTCCGGAGCTTCATCCCTTTGAGCCGCCCCAATGAGTCTTCGTCGCGTCTCCGATTTCGGCCTCCCCTCCAGCATCCCCACCCTTTGGCAGTTTGCGAGGGATCCCACCCTCTCTTACCGTGTTAAGGAGAACAGTGCGCCGCTATTGAGTGAGGAAAAGTGGGACGCGTGGTGGGAGAACTATATCGAGCTCGCCTTCTGCCTACTGGAGATAGAATTCCGTTGGTCAGAGGCGGCCCCATTCGGAGAAGGGTCGGAGCACCCAAAAGACAGCGTGGAGTTTCTGATCATCCAAGCCTGGAGGACAGCGGAGCAGGGCGACCTGCTGGGATTCTTGTTCGGGAAGGTGGAGGAGGGCAATCTCACCTTGATCACGGACGAGTTGCTGGTGTTTTTAACTTAGCTGGCGGACGATCTGCCCCTGGACATCTTGTCGCACAGTGACAAGCAGCCTGACACCCACTTGCTGTCTCGAACGCTCGAACCGCACCTTGTGTGGTCCACGTGCACGGAAATCGACGAGGACAATTGTCTCTATCCCTCCCAGGCGCTCTACTTGGAGATCGACGTTACCSATCTCACATTTTGGGACCCGATTGCGAGACAAAACGTGGCGCAGGACGAGGAGATAAGGGGAGCAGACGAAGAAGAGGAAGAAGAGGAACCATCGAGTGAGAAAAGGGACGATCCGAACTACGTACCGGATAGAGAGGCAGGGATAGCCGACGAATAAAACCAGCCGCAGGCGCAGGACGAGGGGGTGGAACCAGAAGAAGAAGAAGGAAGCGGGCTATCAGGATCGGAGTGCGAAGGATTCGAGGCTGAAGTGCGAGACGCGGTGCGAAAACGAGCGTGAGAGCGGAGGAAACGGAAGCGCCAGAGAACCGCGGAGGGAAGGCGACCCTCAACAGACGTGTCCTCTGTCGATTCGTCGATCGGGGACCCGTGGCGTGATCCTGAGCCGCCATAAGAGGAAGACGATGGAACCACAGCAGAGGGATCACGGAGCCGAAGAAGAAGAAGAAGTGAATTGCCAGCTCCCTCCGGCTCCCCGTCCCGATCCTCCCTTCGTCTACATCAAGGTCTCGACGTTCGGGCTTCGTCCCCGGTCGTTCTCTCGCCGACCCCATGACTACCTCATGCTCACCCGCCTCCCCCATAGACCCCCGTTCCCCGATGGATGGTGTCCCTTCCCCCATCACCTTTTCTACCATCTCTACGCTACCCGCCTTCTAGTCTCCGTTTATCCACACGCCACTACTCGCTCTGTGGTTGATTCCTTTCTCCTTCATGTGCTCCTGTTTCGCGCAGATTGGCGGGAATATAACCACATAGAAGTATACTGTATTGTGTCAGGGACTATTCCCGCCTGCAAAAATTATGAAGATTTTCGCGCCGCCCTGCGACGGACCCTCTCCACCATCTACCCCGATTATATTGCCGCTTTTCATCATCTTCATGAGGTCCCTTGTTTCCCCCGCATCCATCGCTCCTTCCACTACGCTACCCTTCCTAATTTCGCCTCTCTCGCCATCAATCGCTTCATGCCCCCTCTCCCCCTGAACCATCCGCCACCTCCACCCTCGATGATCCGGCTGCCATTCCCCGGGAACGTCTAAGGTCTAGGATCTACCCTCCTGATACACTGATGCATGGTTGATGGCACGTGTCTCGGCGACGGCACGAGAAAGATCCCGTCCTTGGATCGTCGAGCGCCCAATCTAAGGAACTAGTAGAAGAGCAAAGTTGCCACGTTGGATGACGTCCGCACACAATCGAACGGTAAGTGGCATAAAGGAAAGTGCTCCGCGTGTCGATCGATTAGAGAAATCGACACGTGTCAGCAAGCAAGCAGGAGCTTGCTAGTACTAGAACCCCCTGGGCGTCACATATGTAACGAACCACTTTCTGTAACGCGCGACTTTCTACGCGGTTGCAACGAGGGATCCTAAGCTGGGAAGATTGGGCCAATTACGGGAAATCGGGATCGGTGGAAAATCGCATCAGTACCCTTGCTTCTTCGCCTTTTTCGTCGCTTTTTCGGGGCTGGATGTGTCCTGGGACGGCCGATTGAGTGAGTGTCTGGCGTGCCATTGCGCGCGCGATTAATAAATGTTGACGTCGTTTCTTTCGTTTCGGTTTCGATCTTTTGGGCGCGGACATTGCGCGGGAAATTGCTGCGCTCCTGTTTTTAATTTTCTTTTGAAACCTTTTTGAATTTTTGTCGAGCCCCGATGGCTCTCGGAATTTCGGACTTTCCTTCTGGAATTTGTGCCTTTTGCTTTTTCGCATTAGATAGGAATTTAGGAATTTAGTAATTAGGATTTTCTCAGCTGCGCGGCGCTTTTTGTTCACGCGCTTCTTCGCGCGGCTGCAACGGAACTCTGATTAATCGGCGCCTATAATCGTTGGTGTAACTGTAATTTTGGGCAGGCGCCATTGTAACTGTATCTTTCTTCTTGCGCTTCGTCTTTCCCTCCCTCCCTCTCTTCCTCTTGCTGTGATTTTTGTGAACCACGGTTTGCATGCTCGGATCGATGCATGGAGAAGGGGTACGTCCCCCACGCTGCGGCCCGATCATGCAGAATGCAGGCGCTCCCTCTCTAATCCCCGCTCTAAGTTCTGATAATTCCGTGTCCTTCGCGCATGCATGCACGCTATAAATTCCGGCTGCGCGATTAGTCAGCTCTCTTAACCCGTTGTTGGAAGCTCGGGGTTGTGCGATCAAGAAGGGTCGACACACGAGCGAAGTAAGAGGTGAGTAGATTAGGAGTTGGGCGACCCGACGGGCTGGTGCCGAACGCGCGGGATTGACGTGGGCCACGACGGACTGTGGGCACGGGCGAATCCGAGGGGTGCGGGAGGACTAAGCGGGGTGACAGCTTCGTTGGTTGGTGCATGACGACAGACTGTCCTCATCGGAGAGAGAGAGAGAGGAAGTGAGAGTTGAGGATGATGGACGTGGATTTGCAGTTTCTTTGTCTCTTCCCCCTCTTCACCTGTGTATATACATTTTTGATTACGGCTCCGGGCGGTTGGCCCGTTCTTATTTCCTTTTTCGGCTTTCTGAATTTTGGGCTTGGGTTTTTGCTCACACTTGTCTTTGCTATGTCCGTCCCGATTGCATTATGCGTATGAATATCGAACGTATGGATATACGAATGTGTGGATGCGCGGACGTTATGCCTGTCCGTATATCTTTTTGATTGAGAATCCCTATCCTTGCTTTTTGTTTGTGTCGAATATTTGCCGAAACCTGATGCAGCTGTAGATGGGATAGGAATCTAGCCCCGGTAGCGATTTTGTTCTAATTTTTGCTTATCTCACGATGAGGGTTGTGATATGGTCGCATCTTGCATAATCCAAAGCAATTAAACGATCAGAGATCTGGCTCCGCGAACACCGCGTGAAAACACATGTAAACGCGATCCGAGTCGCGCCCTTATACGCATTCCCGAACGTCGATTCGCCCACCCAAAAAGATTTGAGGCGGAACCGTCATCCCGTACGAACACGCTGAGGCGCCACCAAGACGGCCTGTCCTACACGTGCTCGTGCGCGGTGACGATATCCCGACCCACGCTATCCCATCTGCAATGATACCGTGACGCGATCTTGGGACTCAGACTCGTCCTATGACCCGTACTATTTCACCCCTACAATCAACGAGCTCATAAGGACGCGATACCCCTGTCACACGGAGAATCGGCTACGTCCACGGGAATTCCACCGTGCCACCACTAGGGACCCTCGGTGCTCCGATTTCCCTTCCCCCGACCACACCTACTACTTCACCCACCCGGGATTCGTTGAGATCACCACCAGTTTCCCTCCTTTCCGCCTCCTTCTCCCGTATCATCAACTCAGTGTCGTTCCGTGGCCGGCCATAGCCCCCTATTCGCCCAATACGTTTTGCGTGAACTGCCGACGCAACGGCGCGCAGAGCACTCCAGAATTCCGAAGGCCCAACCCAGGTACGCGGCGGCCTGCGCCACGTGGCGGCCCCCGACGGCCTAACTTTTCAGGACTACCTCCACCACGGAGGAATTTTTTCCGTAACCCGTCGTCCACAGTGTCCTGGTCCCTTGGGACTGTGAGACCCTTGTGTGCGCACCCCTTGCTCGCCCAATTACATTCATATCCTTAAGACTCCCCCACTTCCCCCAAAAATCCTTGGCACACCCCTTTTCGCACTTCCAAGCCCACACTCCACTCCGATCAGGAAGTCGCGCTGGGCGTGAGGTTGGGCGTCACAGCGGGG